TAGTGTTCAAGTTTTAGATTGTGATTTTCGTTCAATAAATATCTGCATTTCTAAATTGATGATCGATACTACAAACATTCTGATGTTTAGATTTGCAGCAAAATGATTAAAAATTGAGAGATATATAACTATAAGAAAAAGTATGTAGCTGAAGAAGCCAATTTTTTTCAAATACGTTGAGGCCTTTTTACTGGCAATTACACAACTGAAATACTACAAATCAGGACCCGTAACAGTCTTGAAGAAATTAAACAAAGAAAATTTTATCTCAACAAACCTTTCCTTAAGCTGAAGTTCTAAACATTCAGTTTAGAGTTAGTGTGCACACACCTAATAGGCTTATGAACCTCATCATATTAAAGATCCCTTATAGAATCTTATATCTATGTGTTTACTTCTTCCATCAAGCACTGGATTCTTCGACAATTTGATTGTTGGATATTGTCACAAAAGATTTTAGTAGCTCCTCATGAACTCTTCTAAGCTGTAGGTGCAACAAATTCATCTTCTGTGGTTGACAATGTGACACTTTGTTGTTTTTTGGATGCCCAAGAAATAGCACCTGTTCCAAGCATAAAAAAATGTTCCTCATCAAGTAGTATGGGATGAAAATGTATGGTGTTAAAGAAATGGGAGTTGTGGCAGAGATAGTAAAATCACTTGGTTTAAGTTCCCTGGAAAATCTTTTTGTTAATCCAACAGTTGAATATGATTTTCATGAATTTATAATTCTATTCCTAATTACTCAAATACTGTACTCAAGACTTTGACTTATTTTCCTTAACAATATAATATATTGCTAACATTTTTGTAGCTTTTATTATGGCTTTCATTTTAATTTTCTGTGTCATCCTTTTTATTTCTTGCAGATAGCATTGACACCTTGGTTGGAGAGAAGGTGCTGTCTCTTCCAGTGTAAATAGAAATTTAGGGAAACAGCCATCTGCCCAGCATTTATAGGTGATCAAGGAGACAATTGAACTGGATGCTGTTTAGGCGTGAAGTAATATTTTCTAAACCTCCTTATTTGTGGCAGGAAGTGCATTTTGTTGCTATTAATGCTTTCAAATTTGGCAGAAGATGTTTATGTAAAGTTTCTAGGACACGCCCTCAATGGTCCTGCCTTGTTTTCAGCTTTTGATCACAGAGTGGATCAAGCATTAGCCATTTTGAGACCTCAAGCAATTGCTGATTGTCGATCCCTTCTTGCCTCCTTTGGCTGGCCACCACTCCTGTCCGCTTTAAACCCCTCTAATCTAGAAGCAAAGAAATCAGCTGAAGCTACAAATCCCCTTTCCACGATGTGAGGTGATCTCAAACACCAGTATTTTACGGTCTTTTTGCACTATGCAAACTGCAGGAATTGCAAGCGCAAAGAAAATCTCGACAACTCCAGGGGCATTATGTAGAAGTTACACTGCATCAGCTTCTTTGGGCCATTGAAGAGCTTGTGAATCCTATATCAATTGCATCTTAATGCCATTTTACAAAGTGGACTGAGAAATTTAAGCTTACTTTTGCATTAGTATATAAAATAACTCGGGATTTTGTTGATCCAATGGATGAGTTATTGCAGCCACTGGTTGATGAAGCGATGCTGTCAGGTTACTCTTGCAGGGGAGAATGGATTTCAGTCATGGTAACATTCTTATCGACATATATGGCAAAAGAACTTTTCCCCATGTACATAAGTCAGCTGGACGAAAAGAATACTACTGAAAATCAATCGCAAGCTAAAATATCCTGGCTACATGTCATTGACTTAATGATTTCTTTTCATAAAAGAGTCTGAATATTTGTTGCTCAGCCAGAAATCATGCTATCCCTTGAGGAGGATGGGAACATGCAAAAGATTTCTTCTCTATCTGTTTTCTGTGATCGGCCTGATTGACTTAATCTGTAGGCTGAAATAGAGCTCAGTGATTCAATTGATAAACTGAGACCTGAAATTGAGGATGAGAAAAAAAGGTTGATGGAAGTTCAGGAATCAGCTCTTGTGTTAGGTTCAGAAGATTACAGGTCTCCTGCAATATCAAGTGCTTTTCTCAGGCGCGTATCATTCATGATTGAGTGCTGCTGGTCACTTCCAGGTGTTCCATTGAGAGCAAAGTTTATTAGAATGGCAGTTGCGTCAATTATGCACAGGTTTTTGGATTTCTTACTTTTTAGATGCCAAGAAGCTGAAGGGCTGACAGCCCTGACTGATGATGATGCGTTGATTAAAGTGACAAGGTCTATCAATGCTTCTCGATACTTTGAGTCTTTTTTAATTGAATGGTGTGAGGAAGTCTCTTTTTTGGAAATGAGAATGGATCAGAACCAACAAGTAGGGATTACAGTTGGTGAGAACAGTTCTGGTGGTATAGTTGATGGGGAAATATGTACCTGGGGAAATTTAGAATAGGATGGGTTCGGAAGTTATCGGAGGTTGCTTTTTTTATGCTCACAGTCGTGATTATATGAAGAACAGGAAGCAATGGCTGGAAAAGAGGGAAGAAGGCTGGGCAGTATCCAAATCCTTCATTGGGGCAATTGGTTATTTGCAGGCGAAGATGTCAATAATAGAAGTGAATTTGAATAAGATGGATTTTGTTGGAGACTGTAGAAATCTGGCAACTGATATAGATTGTCTTGTTTTCAGTGGTATTTTTATGAGTAACACGAAGTTATCTGATGCAGGTGTAGAAAGATTTACCAACGATCTTACAATTCTGTTTGGGGTTTTCAAAGCTTGGTGTTTGAGACCTGAAGGTTTCATCGAAATGAGAATGAGGTGGATAAAATCATGAAGAGTGGGGTATATAGCAACTAAATACAGTCAAGATATGAAGATTTCAAGTTTTTCTGGCACGGCTAACTTAGGATGGTTAACGGATGCATTCGTATGTTCTTCATTCTATTATTTGGAACTGAAGGATTATGTTGTATTTGTATAGTTACATTGTTAGTATTTAGCTCTGCTTGATAACTTTCATATTACATGACTCTTCATCTCAATTATAATATTTTGATAAGAATTCTAGTGATCATCTATCACCAAGTACCTCAGATGAGTTCATGTACTAAATTTTAAATCTGAAATGCATGTGGCTTATATTGAAAAATATGTATATATGTAGTTCTTGCAAATTTGCTATAAGGTGAATTGTGTTGACTTGTTCTTCACAAGTGAATTTTATGTTGCTATTATACTTGGCCCCCAGTGTTAGTTGGGATAAATTGCATTATCAATAATGCATTTGATTTAATTGGTGATGAGGATAGAGAAAGAGATGATTTAATAATGAGGCCAAGTGATTCAATTAGAGGATGAATTGGCCTTTTCTTGTATGTGCCTAAATGCCATATATCTAAAAGAGACTGAGTGGTGTTTGAAATATTATCCTTTTAACTGTGATGAACAGGCAACTAGAGCTATTTCAAGATTGATTTTTATGGAAAGCTTATTTATGTACTTAAAAAGTCGTGAACTCATTAAGCATGCATTTCAGGTGAAAGTTGAGAAGATATAAGCAGTAAAGGCAAGGAAGAGATAAGTACCTCTCAATCTAGTATGTTAAACATTCACATGTTTATGTAATAATCATTGAAGGCAATAGCAAAGTAATTCCTTGTGGAATGGTTTGTATGGAAGATTCAGATATCTGTAAGCTAAAAGCCTGAGTCTTTCAAGGAAACAACCAGCATACTTCTTTGGGTAGTGGTCAGGTATGCGTACATCTTACCCTACCCATATCCCACTCCCGGGTGGGATACTGAATTAGTTCGGTTTGGTTTGTTTAAGCTAAATGCCTGTATATATCGACGCAAGTATAACTTATGAAGGTGAGTTTTATATGCCATGACAGTATGGAATGTTACAGCAAGTGACCCGAGCTTAACAACTAGGTGTGAGGCCTTAAACTATGAATAATGATAGGGACTAGAAAATCTGCTGTTAGAAATATACCTGGAATGTATCAATCACTTCTACAATATAAATGCATGTCGTTTGGAAATGTGGGTCTTTTTTAGGTTCCTCATACCCCAAGAACTTTGCCCAGAGAAAGGAAAAGAAAAAAATGCAGAAAACTTCCGTTCTTATCTTAGGATTTATGGGATTGACTTAATATTTTACTCTCCATAGGTGGTACACGAAGTAGGAAAAGGACCTTGTGATGCATTGGTTGACTGTTATGAGAAATAAATTAGAATTTCTGAATGGACGGTAAATTGTATACATAATATTCCTATAAGAAGGTTAACACATAAGACAACTGATTAAAAGTTGGGCATACGATCACTCAAAAGAGGTAAATAGAGCAATATGGTCTGTCTGCTCATATAAACTTTTGGTTAAGGGTGCTGATTATTTGGTGTAACCCTGGTTTCAATGATGGTATAATTTTGGGTAACATACGGCAGAGGGATTATTATCTTCTAGCCCATCAGTGTTTACTGAATAGTTGGAGGGATAATTGCAATGACTATAATTTTGTGCAATTGCAAATGTGCACTATTCAAGAGTGCTAAAACCCATCATATATGTCAATATGTGTCACAAGCCTGCTGTACAAGGTTATGGTCCTTGTTAAAGACCTCACATGAGAGTAAAAGTAAGGATGCAAGTAGATTGATATAAAAGGGTATGATGAGTTTAGGCTTATTTGGTCACACACGTTTTCCAGTTCCAGAAATTTGCCACAATTTACCAATATCAAATTTTGACTTATTTGAGGGTAGAGGTCAAGTCTGCTTACATCCTCCAACCCCACCTCCAGGTGGGTATATTGGGTTCCATTGAGTTTGCTTGTACAAAATTGCGTCAACTGTATACCTCATAGGTCTTTTGGCTCCTCCCCATAGGTCGTTAATTCGAGTATCCCTAGGGTCACTAAGGATTTTTCGCTGTTACCTTCAGGTCCCTAAATATAATGAAGTGAAGTCCTTGGTATTTGGAGGAGATCAAAGGAAACACCATATAGATGTTATATAAATAGCTGGAGTATTTAAATAGCCTAATACATGTCTGATTGATACAAGAAGATAATAAGACAGATACAATATGCATATGTTTGTTTTTTGCGAGTTGGGGGGTCTTCACAAAAACAGTCTCTCTCCACCCTTCATGGTAGAGGTAAGACATATATGATATGCATATGTTTGTTTCTTCCCTCCCCTTTTCACCTTGTGGGATTTACTGGGTTTGTTTGGTTTACAGTATGCATATGCTTGACTTTATGACCTCCACACACGGAGGGAAGATTATTGTTGCAGAAGATCTCGGAGGATGTTCACATCAACACCATTGTTTTCCATAGAATCCAATATTTGAGATAGTCTTTCTCCTAGGTTGTCCCCTTCTCTTCTCAAGCTCTTTATGTAATAGCATGTCTCTTGAATAATCTTTGATGCTGGCACCTTTTTCATCATAACGATATAAATCAGAATAACCTTTTGACATATATTATTTTAATGCATGACGTACAGACAGATTTAAGAACGACTCTATCTAACAAAAGAATGTTCGTTCCCAACAGATAAATAGTTCAAAATCTTTCAAAAGGTCATGCATTTAAATAAAATCTCGTAACCAACATACCCTTGTTTTATTGGCGCTAGAAGTTGAAGGTGGTAGCAGTGCTTGTAATTTCGAAAGAAGCCGATCGAGCTCATCATCTTTGTTCCTTGAAGGTCTCCTTGGTTGGCTAGACATGAGGTATGGCTCTCTTTCTTTCTCTTGCAAATATCAGCTGTAATGTGAATAGGAAATTGCAAAAACTGAGTTTCATAAAAAGGATGAGGAATTTGTAGCTTGGAGACAAATTTCGTTAGAAATATGGCAGCATTCATGTCTGCTGCTGACTGATAATATAATCTTGGCCTGGTCCTACATGTTTCACTCTACTGCACTTTATGGACCCACACCATTATGGGGTCTATCCAATTAAGGGTGTATCGGCAATGGGGGCCAGTTTAGTTCATACATTTGAGAAGATGTGGACACGTGTGCATTGTAGATTGAGGGTTCATAATAAGTAATTGTAGATGTTTTAGGTGGTACCGTGGTACCTACAAGATAACTCTGATTCTGCTGCATTTCTTTAAATCTATATATATATATATATATATATATATATATATATATATATATANTAGGGTTGGGTTCACGTGAGACCAGCCTGTTTTCGTGAGACCTGTAAGACCACATTTTTACACGTAACCTTCACAGCAAAAACACTGTGAAGGTTTAAAAAAAGTCGAACCTTCACAGCAAAAACACTGTGAAGGTTTAAAAAAAGTCGAACCTTCACAGCAAAAACACTGTGAAGGTTTTAAAAAGTCACCTTCACAGCATTTTGCTGTGAAGTTTCAAGTGTAAAATGTTGGTCTCACGGGTCTCACGAAAACAGGCTGGTCTCACATGATCCCAAGTCTATATATATATATATATATATATATATATTTATATATATATATATATATATTTATATATATCAATTCACCACCAAATGACTCCAATTGATGTTCATTTATGAGCAATTCATATAATAATCTGGATTCCTTTTACATGATTTGCGGCAGCACACATGGTTTGAATTTGTAGTTTAGTTGTAGTTATTAGTGTTGTAAAGATATCAATACTAGAGATGGTAAAACCATGTTGGGTAGGTTATGATTCTTAGATTTTCTTTTTGTAATCAGTTCTGACTAAAAACTCATGATTAGGTCTCCTTTAACAATAACCGGTCTTTAGAACCGGTCTTTAGAACCAGTCCCGGTCGAAGGGCCGGTCCAAAGCGATCTCAAGTTTGTTTTCCCAAAAAATAAGTTTGAACATATAACATCTTGTTTGATAATTATTGAAATACACTTTTAATATATATATTTCTTTAATTCTTTAAATTTACAAAAAAAAATATTGTACATCTATACTATATTATAAAGTATTTAACAGAAACTCTTAAATATTATTTTTTATGCATGAAGTAATGTGTATTAATGCATATAACTTAAAATTTAAGATTACAACTAAATGTGCGTAATTACAACTTATTAAAACTTCATTTTTGAATTTGTATAAATAACTGTAAATAAACATAATCAAATATAGGATAAACATATTATTTTAAATATCTAAAATATAATTAGGATAATCATTTAGTTCTATCAAAATCATTATCTTTATAAAAAATTTATTGTTAAGCCGAAAATAAATTACTTCATTATTTGACCTAAATTAAATTATATAAAAAAATGGATTAAAGGTACAAAAACGAGAATTTTTAAATAGTTAATTTGATATTAATATCGATATATTTTTAAAAAAAATTTATGATGTCTTCAAATTTATGTTTATTCAAAAGTAAAAACATTATCTTTCGCAAAATCACATAAACCGTATAATATCAACATAAAACGAAACATTAAAATAAAGATGTATCTCGCTGCATTGGATGAGTAACTTTCTAGTGTTTTTATAATTACAATTTTTGAAATTTAGTATTTAAACACCTTAAAAACTTGAAAGTTTTCCAAAATAACTTTGGAAAACTTAAAATAAACTTGAAGTTTAAAAAAACGCTTGAAAATCTCAGGGAAATCTTGCAAAACTTGATATATAATTTATAAAAACTCATTTTTTTTTATAAAAAAAAAAAGATTGGGCCAATATATAACCGGTCCTAGGCCGGATTAGGCCTTGAATTTTTGTAAAAACAATGGTCGGTAACGGACCGGTCTCAATTTTGGGCCAGGCCGGCTATTTTTAGCCATCTTTAAATTCTATACCACTCACGTATATGGACTGCTGTTAATCCAAATTGTTTGGCCCAATGCTAGAAGTCTGAAGTAGAGATGGCCAAATGGGCCCGGCCCGGCCCGGGACCGGGACCGACAAAGGACCGGCCCGGGACCGGGACCGGTAAGGACCGGTTATGGGACCGAAAACCGGGACCGGTTGAGGTTTTT